AAGGATAGAGTATATTTGTTTCTTCTTCTTTGTGGGTTCTTTTTTCCCCCCACCCTATATCTCCCCCCTCAGTTTCTCTCCATATCACTAGATAGGAGAGAAAAAAGAATAGAGGAGAGGAAGAAAGAGAGAGATCCTTAAATCTAATTTTTTCTTCTTGTTTCCTCTTTGAGCACCTCTACTAACAAACTGCAACCAATCCCCTGAACAACCAACAATCACCAAATTCACCTAACTGGTCTCTAGCATTTACATACCCTCTGAAAAGTTTCCAGAATTCCAAATGTCACACAACCACAGAAACTTTCTGCAACTGGTAAAAGCTTGCCTCTGCTAGAGCACGAGGCAAATCATACTCAGCTGCTGCAAACAGCTCCATAACCCCATACCTGGGTTAAAATGAAAATATATTCTTAACGTATTTCTATGTTTTTTAAAGAAACCAAGATTTGGAATTACTAGTACATTTCCCCATTTCTATTTTAAGCTAATATGGTGGATGTAGTGAGGAAATTATAACCAAGACATTTTCAATGAACTAAGTGATTTTTTTTTTTTTTTGGTCAGTGGCCAAGGTTTATAGGAGACCTATCTTGCCCACTTCTAATCTTTATAAGTTTTGATGGTATTCACAGCTTTTCATTTCCTGTGGAAATATAAACAAATCCTTGTCCCTAATGCAAAACTTTCACTGGCTTCCATTCTGATGTTAATACAGCCTTATAATATATAGGTTGCTTTAATACACTCCTTGACTGAAATGGCTTATATTTTTTTGCTGTGGAGCCTTGAGCTAGATCACCAAGTCTGTTTCTCAGTGGTAAGAAATTACCTTGAATATCTCTTTTGGACCTACACTCATTGTTCCAATGACAATACTTGCCACATTGTCTGCACAGATCCTGGAAGCCTAGGCCTTCTTTCTGGTTTATATTTAAAAAAGAACATTGCCCTTAGAGATGCCTTCTTCACAATTTTATTGGAAGCCTAGGCCTTCTTTCTGGTTTATATTTAAAAAAGAAAACATTGCCCTTAGAGATGCCTTCTTCACAATTTTATTACAAATGACCATATTTCTCACAATTAAAGCACTTGGAATTTTGAGATCTGAGATGTTTAGTGGCTTGGTCATAGTCTTTTGCAAATGACCATATTTGCTACAGTTGAAGCACTGGGCATTTTGATATCAGAGACCTCTAACTATAGCTTGACCTATTATATTAACATGGTACGTGTTAGAACCAATATTGGTTGTATCCCTTATCCCCTTGTCTATAGGCACTACTAGCACCTTTAATGGCTTAATAACTTTTTTACATTCAGTATTCACATGTTAATATAGCTAGGTCTCTATCAACATCTGTCTTGTGTTAGGGTTTGATAATGCTTTGTTCACTGCTGAGACTAATCTTTGTAAAAAATCATGAAGGCTTCTTCAGAGCCTTGTATAATCTTTGTAAATGAGGAGGATTCCCCCCCCCCCGGGCTCCTCAACTTTGTTCCACGCTCTTAAAGGCACTAAGTGACATTGTTCTATAGTAGCATCATCAGATTGAAACTGTTTTTGAATATCAGAGTACTACCCTTTCTCCAGCAATTGACCTCTTACTGTACTCTTTCCCCTCACTCTATTTTACTGTTCAATATTTGTGATTTCTTCCCTCTACCATATTAACCATTGCACCTGCAGACTAGCTTCTAGTACAGTTGTCACCAATCCCTTCCAGTCCTGGAGAATAATTTTATTTTGAGTAGCCCAGTTATTTAGAATTTGTTTCACATAAGGTGAGTGCATCCCATATAAAATCATGGCCTCTCTAAACTGCCTTAGATATCATTTCTATAGGACACCATCCTGTTTCATCATAACCTTGTTCCACACCATTATCAGGCATATGCTGTATGACTACTAGGAAAACTGATGATCTCATAACCCCAGGCCACTCTTCTCCCACTGCGGTGGCGAAAATGGTTCAAGATTAACTCTTTCTCTTCAACAGGCTATTTCATCAGATTGTCCTCCCACTTTTTCAGCTTTTCTCTGACCCAACTGCCCTCTAGCACAGTTTCTTTCCTTCTTTTCTGCTTCAGGAAACTCCCACCCCCTTGCTCAATCACGGGAACTGAGCCTTTTTATTCTCTTTTTTCCAGTGCTCCTTACTTCCCAAGAGCTTCCATCTCTACCCACACCTCTCCAGATGCACCACCAACTCTTCAACCCTTTCAGAAAAGAGAGAGTAGAGTGACATCTTTTTTTTTTTCATTTCATTTTTTTTTTCAAGATGCCAGCAAAAAAATGTATTGCTAGTGCTGGGATATCCTCTGCTTTGTTCCCAGAGATTTTCTAATCTCTCTCTCTCTCTCTCTCTACCCATCCATCCTTCTTTGTTTTTTTGTTTTTTTCTTTCTCTCTTTCTTTTCATGTATTCTGTTTCTCAGTCCCCTCCAATTCCATCCACAATTCTTCTAATTCCTCAGCAAAAGGATCATCAAGAGTTTAAAGTTAGCCTAGACCAAAAAAATGAGACCCTGCCTCAAAAATAAATAAATAATAAATAAACAAAACAAAAACCTAAAAATGCAAAACAAAGCAAATCATGAAAGCTTGCCAAAGGCCAATGAGAAAAGATGTCCCTCCAGACATTCCCAGAAGCAGCTGTTCTTCCATTCTGGGGTTTTTAAATTTTGTTTTGTTTTTCCTCTTTCCTACTTCATCTCAGTAGTTTGATGATACTGTTTCTTTCTTAAGTTGCCTATTTAAGATGTTTTGTGTACTGGTAGTCCCCCCCATGTAAGGCAGTGCCACAGATTTCTGATTACTGTCTAATTAGCAGTCACATCTGTGACAGTGTGAACACTGGGTGCCACTGAAGGAACCAGTGTCCTCAGGGCTGCTGACTCTAAGCCTGGGCTCCGAGGACAAGTCAGCCTCCTTCGGATCTGGAGGCACTGTAGTCAGCAGCAGCTTTGTTGGGGTCAAGGCAGGGAACAGATTCAGAGCCCAGAGCAATGGCCTCATTGTTAGGTAGCAGGTGCCTAGCAGAGTGGTGAGCTGGGAAGTGGAAGGTGGGTAAGCCTCCTGCCTTAGTGGGTTCAATCGTGGGAGTGATACTGCTTAGAGAAGCGGCACGAGGCATGGCTTCTTATGCTCGGCTCTGGTGAAATGGTCGCCTCGCTCACCCGTACATTTAACAAGTTTCCGTTGAGCCTCCTTTTGTCAGGAACAGCGCTTGGCACAGAGTGGCACCTTCTGGTGTTGGTAGATGGTAGGAGAAGGTTCATGTTTGAAAGGGCAGATTGAGTCCTGGATATGGTGCAGGAATCTCGGGGCCAGAGGTCACAATTAACCCCTGTGGGATAAGTTAGGACTTTGTGAGTGATGAGGTGACACTGTGGTTCCACATCAGCCTGAGCATACTCAAATTACGTCTAGAAGCACTGAGTCATCTTTGCAGGTGCTCACCAGCGAGTGCTCTTCCATCTGTAGCATCTCCTGTGACCCCTGGGTAGGGGATCATGTCTACTTTATGTAGAACATGTGTTTACTGAAGTCACCGGGCTTTAAGTTCAGATCTGCCTCTGAGTTCCATGTTGCCTGTTCCCTGGTAGGGACCCTGGTCCTCTTCCCTATGCCCACAACCATTAGCTCACCTGACTTGGGAGAGAAACTCAGGTTAACCTGTAACTTTGTGTGAATGGGCTGAAAAGTGCAGCCGAGACCGTGAGGGACTGCATCTGAGGCAGCTCCCTAACTGTTGCTTCACTGGAGCCTCCCTCATTCAGCCTTCAGGTTAGACTTGACACCTTAGCATGATGACCTTTTTTTTCTTTACCTTCAGGTTTACTAACTGCCAGTTTTTCAGTCTGAGAAATAAATGTTTTTTGTTTTTGTTTTTTTTCTTGTTGGCTGGCCTTTGGCTTTTCTGTGGCAGCTTCCAGGGTGTCAGCTGGGGGCGGGGGGCTGTTGTTGAGGATGTAGTGGCGATCTCCTGTGTGCGTGTCAGAGGCTGTTGACAATTTACAGTGCCTTCGTGGGAATAGAACCACTTTCAGCTGTCCACTGGGATGGCCAGGAGCTCATCAGACCGGGGGTCATTTCCCCGTGCACACCCTAGAAGCACAGCTATGGCTTGATGATAAGATGGGCTGCTTGAAGCCCATGTCTGTGTCCACAGGCGAAGCTGCTCCTTGGGTCTCCTGGCTGCTCTGTTGTAATGCTGGGCAGCTGGGTGAGGTAGGAAGGAAGTTCTAGGCTCTTCTCTCTCCAGTCCCCTTGTTAACTCTGTGTACCCAGTACTCACCACTGGATGTCATGTTAAAACCCACCCAGCCCAGTGAGGCAAATAAAGATTCACTTTACCCTGGACTGTGTAAGGAGAATTGAGAAGAGGCTTCCTAGTGAGACTAGGAATGGACTCAACTGAGTCTAGTTTACTTTCCTATCATGATGTAGTTTCTGACCTTGAATTCCACTTTGGGAGCTTATACTAAGAAGATGCAGTGTGAACCAGCTTCCTGACCTACCACCCCAGCCCCTGACAAACCCCCTGACTGAGGCTCTCTCTGGCTCCTGTGGGTAGGAGGTCACACCATCCCCACCACAGGGGGTGCCCCTCACAGGTGTATTTCAACCCCTGGGGCTTTCTTCCGTGCCCTGTGCTCGCCCCCAAGTAAGTGGCAACAAACAGCTTAATGTGCTGCCCGCCCAATCCCTTTGCAGCCCATTACAACAAAAGCCATTCTTCCCTCATTAGAACCATTTCTGTCAGGGTGTCTTTAATCAATGGCTTCCCCAGGGACAGTATTTTTAGAAGTTGTATTTTTCACAGTCTCCCCTTTTCCCTTTTGGAAATGTTCTTCCCTGTGCCGAGTGTGGTGCACTAATGAGATGCCGGGAGACTTGGGGCCGGTGCTAATTGGAACAGGTAGAGAGGCTGCCTGCGCACGTCCAGGGCCGCCCCATCTTACCTGTGACCCCCTTCTCCATTTCTCTGTTGCAGGTTGCACAGACAGCAGATGGCGTGGATGCTGACCTCTGGAAGGACGGCTTATTCAAGTCCAAGGTTACCAGATACCTGTGTTTCACAAGATCATTTTCCAAAGAAAATGTGAGTCTGGTGGCAGTTCTCATTTGCTGAGTGGGCAAGACTAATTTACATTCCTGGTTGGGGTTTCCTCTCTTTTTCATGTGTGGTTTATGTTCATTGCTGCATTAATTTATCTGTGGTTTCAGTGAACAGGGTAGAATCAGCAGCCAGCACCATGTTTCATTTATTAGCCACGTTATTAACCACATCCCCAAGTGCACAGTGAATTCCATTAAGATGTGTTCTCCGAAGGACACCAGGAAATTTCTCTCACTGCTCTCTCGTTTGCCTGTTATTCCTGCAAGTGACAACATCATGGCCACTGAAGAAGGGATAGAGTCTTCAGGGCAATTGAATGAATAGCAGCTGGCAAAGGGCAGGCTAGCTCAGTGGGGGGTCCATGACACCCACTATCCCATGACTGTCCCTAGACATGATATGGCCTTGTTTGTAAAGAGCCTCTGTGTGGTATGGGACATTCATTGATACAGAGAGGGAACTCCCTATGTACAATTCTCTTATGCTGTTTTTAATACTTGAACACACAAACTGGAGAACTTTAAAGATAACCTACAAAAGCTTTCCTAATGAGACATTTTAGGGGAAAAGGGCAATAGCTTTGATGAGCTACCTTGTATGACATCAACCTGTGAGTGTACCTTATTTCCTCCTTTTGTTTTTGATCTCCCACTTTTGTTTGTTTGGTCTCTTCCCCTCCCCCTGACCTCCAACAGGGTTTCTCTGTATAACTACCCTGGCTGTCCTGGAACTCTGTAGACCAGGTGGGCCTCAAACTCACAGAGATCTGCCTGCCTTTGAGATCTGCCTGCCTCCCGGCTGGCTCTTATCTCCTATTTTTATTCCCTTCCATGATAGTGGAGTCACTATCCCTCCCTAGGGGAATGTAGGAGAATAATTTTTCTCTTCTAATTCAGATACTTATTTTTAGAGATTTCTTTACCAATTTATAAATTTAATTATAATGCTACTATAGATTATAGTTTAAAAACACACATACAATATAAAACATGCTAAATGCAAGGTAAGAAGCCTTCTTCAGAGTTTCCCTGTCCATCATGGCCTCCCTGACAATCACAGCCTTCCTGTCCATCACAGCCTCTTTCTCTGTCACAGCCCATATCTTCATCATAACCCTCCAGCCTGGGGTCCCGCTGCCAGGTCTAGGCTTGTCCCTTCAGCAGTTGTGAAGGTGGGCTCTCATATGCTCACACACCACCTGTTGCTCATTGGTAATTCTTTGTTCCGAATATTGTTCCTAATGTGTTCAGGATGAAGGGTGAAGTCATCCCATTAAGTCCCCCTCTAATTACAAGAGCAATATATTTGCTACTTGTAAAGTACAGTTTATGACTGAATAGGGGAATCTTTTTACTACCAGCCTTTGAATGCATTTCCAACAGCAGAATGATGGCAGCTGCACCAGACAGAGTAGGCACCTGCTCAGGGCTTGTGGTGTGTCTGCACAGATCCTTTGTGTTCACTGCAGCCTGAGGAGACTGCACAGAGCATGGGTGAGGTGTCATCACCTTACCAGATGCTGAGCTCATGAGATTGTCAATAGACCCATCAACTCTCCTTTCCACCTGTACCCCATGCGCCTGCACCCCCATGAAGCCTTCTCGGTCCCTCTGTCCCTGTAGTCTACCCAAATGCCTTTGAAAGCTATTTCCACTTCTGCTCTTGTTGTGTCTGTCTGCTGACCACTGCTTCCTGTGGAGGGCTCGTGGGCTCACTGCTGAACTCTCAGGAGGAAGTCCTGAAGACTTGGTCAAACACCTTGTCTAAGTTACTTTTTTGTTGCTACAATAAAACACCCTGACCAAGGAAACTGATAGATGGAGTGACGTATTTTGGTGTATGGTCCTGGAGGGATAAAATTCCATCATGGCAGGGAGGTGTGGCAGCAAGTGGCAGGCATGGTGTCAAGAGCAGGACCCTGAGAGCTCCCATCCATGAAGCAGAGAGAGACCTAGAAGTGCTGTGAGTGTTTTTACTCTCAAATTCCACCCCAGTGATGTACCTCCCCGAGCAAGGCCACACCTCCTAAACCTCTCTTAGCAGCCCCACAAACTGGGGACCAAGTGTTCACAGTTCAAGACCCCCACAGCCGTGCGCCTCACAGGATAGCCATGGTCCTGTGGGTCATTACACTGGGACTTGCTACATTTCCTCTGTGAGATACTGTTCTAGGAGGAAGAGCTCTTCAAGCCCAGGGAGTGGGGCAGCAAGTCCATATGGTGCAGATAGGGCACTGGCCTCATGAGTTTGGAGTGGATTATAGGAAACAATTCCTTGGCTTGAGGGCAATGGTAGAGTGCTTGCTAAGCATGCATAGGGCCCTGGGTTCAGTCCCTGGAACTGCTGGAAAACATGTTGTGCTCCATCACTGCCTGGGTTCTGGGATGGTAAGGATGTGAGGCTGCCCTGAACTGAAGCCTTAGGTGCACTTTTTTTTTTTTTTTTAAATAGAGAATGAATATATCTATTTATGTTGGGGGAACTTGGTTAGCAATTCCATCCTCAGTAACAAGAAAATGAATGAATGTGTCCTTTAAGTCATCCAAATGATCAAGTCAGGGGATAGAATTTGCTTTGGGATCAAATTTTGGGGGATGACAGAGCTCACTTGCCAGCCCTTGAGTGAAGCAGGAGTTAGGTACACCCTCACCAGGGGTGGCTGTCTGTCTGTCCTGGCCTATAGTCAGAGCACAGGCTTGGCAGAGTACCACTTTGCAACCATATGGGAGGATATGGGATCTCCAGAGCAGGCCAAATCTTAATTAGGTGACTTAAAACTCCTAGCATAGGAGTTTGGGGAGCTTCCTTTGACTCCTAAATTCCTTTCCCCGAATCAGGCCATTAATATAGAAACCTGGCTTTAGAGTGACATCGCTTCCTGGGGAAGGAGTGAGATTAATTGCACTTTTCATGCCCCGTACTTTCTATGTTACCTGTAATAATAATGTACATAGATTAGGTAGGGAGGATGTTAAACAGAAGGATTTATGAACATTTGAATATTAAGTTGGTTATCTGTGGCTACCTTAAATGCAAAGTTGTCAAAAATAATTACAGTATACTAGCAAATACTGGCTACAAGAGACAATATAAATACCCTGAGTCAGTGTATATCGGGCTTCTGGTATGAATCATTTGCTCAGCAAGGATTGGGAATACGTTCTTCATATTTATGAGGAGGAAATGAAAGAGAGCACAAATGGGGGAGGGGAGCCAGGAAAATTAATGGTGTTGTAGGCCTATGGTATAAAAAAGGGGGATGGGGGAACCGGCAGAGTGGCAGGCCCATGGAAGAGGGCTACACTCAGGCTGCAGGAAACTTCAACAGGGCAGCCTCCCATTTTGTATGCATGGAAGGGTTTTCCAATGCTTGTAAAATGGCCACACCACCAATGCTGTGCTTTTATGATCAAGGCTTTTTCTCAAGTGCATGGAGGGCGAGGTTGCTAAGCGGTTGCAGTTGACGTCTGCAGAGTCCAGCGTGTCAGACTGAAGACGGTCAAGCACCATAGTGACGAATACCCATCCATCCGTGGGGCAGCAGAACAGGCCCAGTTGTGATTTCTCAGTGCAGAGAGTGGTGATGATATAGAAGAGCAGCTGCCGCCAGGGTGGGGTGGGGGTGGGGGTGGGGGTGGGGGTGACAGATTAGATTGGGCTGCTCTGAAAGCAGCTGGGGCTTCTGCGGCTCCCAGCTGGGCCCAGCTTTCCTGTGAAGTCAGAAGCCTATTTCACGTTAGAGAAGGCCCACTCCCCACATGCTGCACCTCAGTGCAAACTCTCTTCCTGAGCCCTGGCCACCGGAGCTGGGATGAGAAACTGTTGGCAAGCACAGGGATGCAGAGAGAAAAGGGCAGGGGTCTGATGGTACAGCCATGGAAGTGCTGGCCACAGGCTACACCTGCCACACTGAGTTTGGCATTTCACCCTGAGGCATGTTTTACTTATACACCATAATAACTAATAATAAACTTTGGGAAATTTGGTGACATGACAGATTTGCCATTCGAGGAAGTCTGATTTGGTTCCTGATTACCAGCACCCTACTCTGTTGAAAAATGTGCCACAAACATTAATTATTTTAGTCCCTATTGTGTGCCAAGAGCTGTGCCAGCTTGTGTGGAGCAATAGGAGCAAAGATCATTTTGGTTCCTATTTAGTGGTGAGGACAGGGCCCATAGTCTACAGTGTCTGTAAAGACACCTTTCAAGGTGGTAGGCAAATCCATGCCTCACAGTGTCTGTCTTAGTCACTGTTTTCCTGCTGTGAAGAGACACCATGATCAAGGCAACTCTTATAAAATGAAGCATTTATCTGGAGGTGTGCTTATATTATAGTTCATTATCATGGTGGAGAGCATGGCAACACACAGGCAGATATGCTGCTGGATCAGTCGCAAAAAGTTACATCTTGATCCACCAGTGAGAGGGAGAGAGGGCATTAGGTCTGCCATGAGCTTTTGAAACATCAAAGGGCATCCACAGTGACACACTTTCTCCAACAAGACCACACCTCATAATCCTTTTCAAATAGTGCCACTCCCTGATTACTAAGTGTTCAAATATATGAGCCGGTGAAGGCTGCTCTTACTCAAATCACCACAGTGTCCAATTATAATTTGATAGTCAATTAAAAGGACCCTAAAGAGAGAGTGCCTGGCTTTGTTCAGAAAGCAAATAATTGGATTTCAGAGATGCCTGAGATGTAAGGATGGAGGTGGATTCTGGATTCCCCAAGCTCAGAGATAAAGTTGGGTCCCTTCTCTAAGCTCAGGGAACACTGGCCTGAGAGGTTTTTGGAAGGGCAGAGCCTGGGCTCACCCCTTCGATATTTGCCAGGACTGCAGACAGGGGAAATGGGTGTGCATTCAAGCTGGGCTTTGTGGGACACCATGCTTCTGCAAAGTGGGCACACAGAGCACATTGCTGGAATCCTAGCAGGAGAGTTTGGGCTGGGAACCCATTATTCTTGCCTTAACTGCATCTGACGAGGCTGAGATGACTCTGCAGATGTGAATGTAATCTCCACCGCAGCCCTGTATGTTTCAGGCAGATTTCTTGAGAGCTGTTTCTAGCATGACATGAAGGCTGCAAATGCCAGCGTGTTTGCAAAGAATTCTCTCTTGTAGTTATAGAATGGTGCACCACCTACCATCTTCCAAAGATGTCTTTACGGAAACTGTGCACTGTGGACCCCTCTACCTCCACTAAATAGGAGCTCTTAAGAGCCCCCTTAGCACGTCATTTCAGAAGGTGTGGGATACAGAGGTGGCTGGGCTACCATTCTGTTAGTTTGTGATTCGTGGGATTCTATAAAATGTTTCTTGTAGCTGAAAACTGTCAGTCTGTGACTAGCAACCCCTTAGGTGTGTGATCAGTTCTGATGCAGCTGTTCTCCTGAAAGCATCCAGAATCTCCTCTGTTTAAAACGCTCTGACCCTGAGAGGTGGTGGGGTCCAGGGTCATGCACACGCCTGCCCTCTGTTAAGTGAGTGGCTTTGAGGTTCCACAGATGAATCCTTTGTGAGGTACACTAGTACCTGGTAAATGCTGGGAACATTAGGTATCATCTTCTGTGATTAACCTGTTATGGTAAAGACACAGCCATCGTCTTGTATTAAATTTTCATCCTGAAGCCAGGACTGCAAGCAGACTGGGGTCAGTTCCAATTGATAGTCTGTGTCTTTTCTCCTTCAAGAGTCACTTGGGGAATGTGCTGGTAGACATGAAGCTCATCGATGTCAAGGACACCTTGCCTGTGGGCTTCATTCCCATCCAGGAGACGGTGGACACACGTGAGTCAGCCCTTAGCATGCTTGCCTTGGGGACAGCCTCCTTCTCTTCCAGCTGTGTGTTTTTCTCTGGAAACATTTGAGGGGATTTTCTGTGATGGTAAAGAAACCCTGCCACTTGTGACATCTGCCTTGCTTCCCTGTGTGTCTGAAGAGTGTGTGGGTTCCTGCCTGCAAGCAAGCAGAGTCCTTTTTTGGAGAATGATGCCCCTGCTGCTTGGGATCACTCAAGACCAGAACGAGTCTAGGGACAGTTGGTCTTTGGTCTGCCCTCAGCTCTTGCTAAAGCCAAGCTTGGCATAAGATCCTGAAGCAAAAGGGAGGTAAGGCAGAGATCAAAAGATGCCCGGGGCCTACAAGAAACAGCTCTGTGCCTGGTTTGCGGCTCAGAGAGAGAGAGAGAGAGAGAGAGAGAGAGAGAGAGAGCAAGAGGCATGAACCAGAAAGACTTCAAGTTATAACATGCAAGATCTAAATTAAAGCCAGAGGTAGTGGCTCATACCCATAATCCCAACACTTGGGAGATGGGGGCAGGAAAATCAGTATTCAAGGTAATCTTTCACTATGTAGAAATTCTGAGGCCAGCCTAGGCAACATGTCTACTTGAAACAAAACTAACCAAACAAACAAACAAAACACACGCACACGCACACGCACGCGCGCACACACACACACACACACACACACACACACACACACACACACACACCTAACCAAATCAAAAAACTCCAAAAAATAAAATCAAGACTTAAATTAGACATGCTGTCCCACTAAGCAACACTGTGCTGAGCTGAACTTCAGGGAACTATGGAAAATGGAGAAGCTGCCTCAGGATCCTGAGGTGCTAGGGACTGAGGTCCCAGAGTGCTGGGGCTTAGGTCCTGGAGTCCTGGGGCTCAGGTTCCTGCCTGCTGATTGTAATAGCAGGGCTGGTAAGATAGTGTCAGGAAGCCTTGCATAACTGAGTTTCTTTATTTGGGTGTATGTGAACTTGCTTTATTTATAATTGCTCCTGAGCCCACAGCAGTGAAACAGTGACTGGGAAGAGGTCCCTTTATCTGGGAGATTCCTTTATAAAATTCTGTACCCTGTTCATTGGTGTTACTTATATTATGTGTGAATTTTTTTCAGTTTTATGTGGTGCAAACATGTCTAAACCAGTATTTGCTTGCCATTTTCTTGTTCGAATTTTACACTGAGCAGCTTCCATGCTCCCCTCCCCCCTGCCATGGCTCTCATTCAGTGAAGCAGTGGATTCTTCACTGATTCAGTTGTTTGCTGTGCTGTGTACAGCAACTGTCATGGTGCTGGTTGGTTTTAACCATCATTTTGGCATCGCCTAGAATTGCCTTAGAAAGGAGTTTCAGTGAGGCATTGCCTGGTTCAGTTTGGCCTCTGGGCATGTTTGGGGAGTGTGGATTGTCATACTGTTAACTGCCTGAGCCCACTGTGGGTGATACCCTTTCCTGGGCAGGAGGTCCTGGGCTGGACGAGGGGAGGAGGCTGGGTGAGTATAAACGTGGAGGAGGCAAGGATGATTGTTTCTGCTCTTGACTGTGGCTATGACAGGACTAGCTGCTTTAGTTCCTGCCTTGGTTTTCCCTCAGTGACAGACTCTAACCTGGGATTGTAAACCAAACAACCATTCTTCCTCAGATTGGCTTTGGTCAGGGTGTTTCATTACAGCAATGGATACTAGGACACTGATATTTTACATGTTTCATGTTAGGACCCATGTTAAATGCTGTGCCTTCATGATGTCATTTTACCTTTAGGAGAGATGAGTGTGAGGCCTGTTTTCATATGAGAAAAACAAGGCACAGTGACAACATCTTGGCCAAGAGCAAGAACACACCCCCATACACATACATATGCATATACACACACACACATGCATGTACATACACACAGACACATATGCATACACATGCAAATGCATACACATATAATGTGCATAAATCCACATGCATACACACGTGCTTCTTACATACATGTGCATATACATACATACACAGAGATACATAGACATACACATGCAAATGCATGTATATATGTATACATGTGCATAAATACACATGCATACATGTATGCTTACACAGATACACATGCATGCACAATCATGCACATATGCACACACATATACATGCACACAGATACATACATACAGGCATACATACACACGTGCATATGCACATACATACACATGCAGATACACATGCACACACATGCACACACAGCATACATGTGTGCATGTATATACACATGTACAATGCACCTTTCATATCTCTATTTCATGTATCTATGTAGCAGGATTTTTTTATAATGGTTTATTAAGATACAATTCAAATACCGTATAATTCACCTACTTGAAGTACATCATCCAGTGCTTCTTAGAATATTTGTGCTCATGCATAAGGCATCATGGTCCTTTCATCACCACGGCTGTCCTCAAAGCAGGCACCGACATCATGGAGACATTGCCTCCCAGCCCTCAGCCCCCTGCCCCCACCAGCTGGTGCTTTCTGCACAGCTTTGCCTGTTTCTGGTAATTCTTTCACATAGCATGTCAGGCTGGGAAATGACCCCATGATAAGATGCTGGATGCGCAGAAGAAGACCCAAATCTGTATCCCAGCAGGAAGCTGAAGGAAGGGCCCTGTCTGCCTCTGGATCCTCCAGTCCTGGTAGTCAGCCTGCTTCTGCTGTTGTGCTTTTGGTAACCCAAGCAGGTCTCCTGACTCAGTTTACCCACTTGTCAGGTGAGGAGGATACTCCCTGCCTTGTAATGTTACTGGACATCTAGGTCCCTTTCAAGTTTTCTTCATGCCTCTGCCACTTCTCATGTTCCTTGAGCACAAGATGGCAGGACTGATCTGTCCCAAATCATCTCAGGGTCCATCCGCAACAGGGACTTGCCAGCTGTATGAATTAATGAGCTTCACTGGCAAACTGGTATCTCACTGTCTGCCGGCAGTAAGGACTTCACTTCCTCAGGCCTGCCAGCACAGGTGCCCTGCTCTTACGTTGTTTTAGTATTTCAATTGTACTTGACTTACGGTTTGCTACTTGTTAGCAAGCCTGTGTGCTCTTGTAAATGTTTGCTTCCTAGCTTTGTCTCTTCTTGGTGAGTTCTCTGCCTACAAATTAAAATGGCCTTGTTGATATGTATTCATTCCAGGTCTGTTTTCTCCCTGAGATTTTCAAAGTTTTAAATATTTCCTTGATGTTCATTTTTGACAGCTGATTGACGTGTGGTGTCTTTTGTGTGGATATATGGTATAGCCACAAGGACTTCCCATTCTGAATTCCCTGTTTGTTGAGCTCCTTCAGTCGGGAGGCCCTGCTCTGGGGGCTGTGCCCTGACTGCTGGGGTCCCAATGATTCTGACTGGGAAGCCAGTCCCCATGTTTGTATCAGTTGCCATCCTGTGGCTCCTGTGCTCTCCATCAGGTGTTTAAGCTCACCACTGGTCATGGGACCATTTCTCAAAGACTCCCCAGGGGACCAAGAGCCTCATGGTCAGCCCAGAATCTCCTGAGAGTACTTAGAGCCTTGATTTCATGAAGTCAGCCAAAAATGAGACTCCTGTAATTAATTTCAAATATAGCCTGTTGCAGTCCATACAGCACTTAAACCCTGGGAGACTGTTTGTTTTAGTAAAGTGCTGTGTACTCTCCCTGTGTTCATTAGCATGACTGAACACATTTCTATTGACTATGTATAATATGTTTACTTAAAATGAGGCCTGCTTAAGCACGCGTAATGAGTGAGTGGATCCGCCCTTTCCTGAGCTGGCTGCAGGGCCGAGCTGGGGCAAAGGCCCGCAGGATGCCTGCCCTGCGGGTTACCTCAGGGAAGGTCTCCTCTCCAGTGCATCTCCTTCAGGGCCTGACTCAGGAGCTGCTGGGGGTAGGTACAGGGTTGCTTCTGCGTCCCCTTCCTCCAGGATGCCAACAGTGCCTCAAGGATTATGTTTGCCCCCTCTGCTTTCACTTCTGGAAAAGAACTCATGGGATCTGGGCATTTCAGCCTGGCCTTCATAAAAGACATCTCCCTTTCCCCAAAACCTAACAAGGACCCAATAGTACTGTGGATTTTGCAGACACTCAGAACTGCCCTTCTCCTACCTGCCTGCAGCAGGACCGTGCTCCTGGCATTTCTTTATAGAGCACTTACTGTGTGCACAGCACTGGCCATGAAATCGTGTGGCCACGTGCCATCTGTCTGAATTCCTCTAGAGTGGGCTTCTACCAGGCAGGTCCCTTGTACAGATGGCAAAACTGAGGCCCAGGGCAATTAAGTGATTTCTGAGGCTCCAGTGCCAGCAGAACTAGGATTCCAACCCAGCCCAACTGATGGAGCCAGGTGTGATAGCACACACCTTAATCCCAGCATCCTTTGTCTGAGGCCAGAGGATGACAAGTTTGAGGTTGATCTAGGCTATGTAATGAGACCCTGTCTCAGACAAAAACCACAGGCAAGTGAGTAGCTGGGAGGGGAAGAGTCTCCCCAGGAAAGAGCCCCTCCAGTCGGTTGTCCAGTACCAGGCAGGGGCCCCTGAAACCATATGCTTACAAGAAGCAGTATACAGACTGAGCATGTTGCATGTATATGTTTAGGAATATGTATGTAACAACAGTTACAGAAAAAGAGGTCAGGGACCTTGAACTTAGGAGAGCAAAAGGGGTTTGTTGTAGGAGACAAAGAGGAGGAAAATATTTTAATTTTTAAAAAATGTTTAGATTAAAAAAAAAATCCAATGGGAAGACTTAGACACTGTTGGGAAACATTCAGAACCACAAATGAGCCGATGGGCACCATCGTCAGCTGCTACAGCATCAGCTGTTGTGTGCAGAGTGGACAAGTGATAGCAAAGGGCCACACACTGGCATTTCCTGTTCAGAATCCACGATAGTGGGTCGCAGAGCTGGTGAAGAGAAGTCGTGTTTTAGATAGAAGAACTCGAACACATCAGTGCACAAGGAATGGCAGAATTTGGAGAATTGCTGTTTTCAAACCTAGAACCAAGGGGTGACTCCTAGCTAAGGCCATCCTAAAAAAACCACAGCTGGAGTAGTGCACAGGAGGTCATGACCTAGGCCCCAGGCCTGCACTGTGGAGCTCAGGCTGTGGGAACCCCCATCTGCACTGTGTTCCAGAAAGATCTGACCTGGGCCAGAGCCAGCCCGCTCTGATATGCTACCAAATGAAGGCAGAACAGCTGTCTTTCCCCCCTGCCTCTCTGTGCCACAAAGCAACAGGGAGCAGAGAAAAGTGGTTACAGAGTAAAAGGGATTGAAGGGACCTGCCAGCCCACTGCAGAACACACAGCCTTCTAGATATGGATCCAGACAAAGGGGCAGGGCATTGTGCAGTGATGGAGAAACTTCGTTTTCAGACCATGGATACATTCAGGAGTTTCCTTGTTCTCAGTAGAAATGGCAGGGATATGGCAGCCATGCCTCCTGGGGGAGGTGGGAGGGGCAGCCAGACAGCATGATGTAGTGTGAGGGATTTGTTCCATATATCCAAAGAAGGTAAAGGTGTGTGAAGACTGGAACCAGTGTTCTGATCTGGAGCAGGTGGTTCTGCCCTGCAGTTCTCACCCCTTGGGGAATGCTTGAAGATTTCTGTAATGAAAGTGAAAAAGAAAAGGAGTCTTACAGTGGGCATGCCTGTGGCCTGAGGAAGCTGCGTCAGGACTCTGGCAGCAAGTCTAGGAGCTCCTTCTTGGCCAGCATGTCTGTGGTCAGGTCCTGGGTGCTGGGCAGGGTGACTGGCATACTCAGTTGTTATCACCTGTCCTTGGGGGCCTCAAGAAAGGCAGGGGGTGGAGCTAGCCCCTCTGCCAGGGGACAAGGTTGATCTGCCGTCCTGCAGCTCTGAAGGGAGAGGAGGCCGCATCTGCCTTAGACTAACAGCTTTCTGTCGTCCTTTCCTTAGAGGAGGTGGTCTTTAGGAAGAAGAGGCTGTGCATCAAATTTATTCCCCGGGATTCAACCGAAGCTGCCATTTGTGATATTCGCATCATGGGCCGGACCAAGCAGGCACCTCCCCAGTACACATTTATTGGGTAAGCCTCAACAATATTTCTTCACCCACTGTTCTCTCACCTCGGAATGGTTGGGATACTCCAGGGACCTAGACCTGAGAGTCAGTGTGGCTCACAAGGCTCATCCATGCTGCGTGTTGGTGCTCACCACTGACTCTGAGCTCAGCCACCTCAACTTACACTGTAGTTGCTCCATTTTAGGGCCTTCTGTCCTCTGTGTGACCACTTTTCAGGCCCCTCTTCATCCTACCCTGTGCCACTGTGAGCATCAATTCCCCACACTGCTTATCAACCTGGGGCATTTTATGGCCAACCTGCTTGTGCCTCTGGACAGATGCTGTGTGTGGGAGAGAGAGACAAAGGCCCCACCCACGTGGAGGGGCTATTCTGAAGGGAGAGATGAGCAGTGAGAAAAAAGATAAACAAGGTCATTCCTGTGGAGAGCATGACTCAGTGATGACCTGGGGACTACACCGGTTATGGTATCAGAGGTGGCTGACCCAGGTGGGCAGAGTGGGAGTGAGTGTGGCACATTCTGGGAACAGAGAGCCATCTCTGGGCACACCAGGGGGAGTGTTGGGCCTAAGGGAAATAATAGTTCCCTGGGTTTTATTCTAGACACACTGGTTCTACTCAGGAAGAAACCCAAGGAGTACATGAGTCTATAGTGCATGTCCTCTGATAGCAGAGAGCTTGCTGGAGGCTGAGCTCATCGGGTTCTAGTTATCTAGAACTGAGTAGGGCCTGGCCCCAAAGCTGCTCCATAAACTCCAAGTGCAGGCAGAACCTAGAACTTTATTTTGGGACCCCATGAGCCTGAGTGATAGGAAGCCCCACCCAGAGTGGCTTACGCAAAAGGAAGCATTTGTTGGTTGACACAGCACTCAGGCTTGGGCAGGCAGAAGTGAAAACTAGAGGATGAAAGCCCCTCTTTTCTTGCCCCCTCAGTCCCTTGGTGGGACCCTATCTGACACCTACTCCTCTGGGGAGGCATGACACTGCTGTCTCTTAACTAGCCACTCTTCAGAAGTGGGTCCAGAGACAAGGAGGTCTGCCTTTCTGAGTTTCCCATCACAGTTCTAGAATCCAGTATCCTTGGGTTTGAGTCATATAACCACCATCAGGTGCACTCCTACCTTGGGAAAGGTCATTGCCTCACTAACTGGCCTGGGCTACAAGTAAGGACCAGTTCAGTAGAGCTCAGAGAAGAATAGTGTTGGGGGTGGCTGTGTCAAAATGAGCAGAGAGGTAAAGGGTCAGGAAGGCAAGGCAGGGTGTCTGCTGTGCTCAATTGGTTGGGACTGGGTCCCTTCAGCCCCTTCTGCTGTGGATTCATGTACTCTCAAGATGGACTTGGGCTGGGCATTCGTGGCTCAGTGGTAGAGCCCACGCTTAAGGCGCACCAGCCTAGCTCCATCCCCTGAGCCAAAAGCTGAACAAGTAAGGGAAGGGCCGTGGCCATTCTTTTCCCACACCTGTGAACCCCACTTTGCAACCAGATTTAAACAAGCTGTGTCAAGCAGGTTACAGGTTAGGAGGCAGTTAGCAGAGCAGCCACACATCACCCCAAAGGCTTCCACAGTACACAGTACAGCCAACCACTGTACTTTTAAAGCATAGTTGCATCTACTGTTTATAGCTCTCATTACAATACTGTTTTCAAAAGATGCAATTTTAACTGTTTTAAACAACCTGAAGAATAGATTATATCAATATTTGTCTTGACATATAAGACTGGAATCTTTCTTCATTGATACAATTTTTTAGTTGCTGAGGTACAATATGTATTTCATCTTGGGCCCTAACATCCTCTCCTAGAGGAAGATACAGTATAGTTTTTAAGTAAGAGAACTGAGTTGAGGATTCAGAACCAAAGTTACTTAATCCGTGTGCCACATGACAAAGGCCTGTGCTTGCCCTGTGGGAGGCAGAAAGCTCAGACTGGAGAGGACACAGCCTCCACTGAAGCGGGCACCCTGGGGTCAGGTGGAGGTGGGTACACTGGTGCTGCTGCAGTTGGGCCAGGGTCAGAACAGCCCTCAGGCTGCACCCAGGACCTGCATAATGAATGTCTTTCATTTTGGGAAGAGATGCTATTCCTCAGCCTCCAGTCCCGTAGACACAGTTCTGGACAGCCGGGAGGGCTTGGACCGGGCAGAAATGACCCTGTTTAATTGACAAGGGTGAACTTTCGTCATTCATATCACAGGTGTGCAGTGCAGGACAGGGGCACAGTGGCTGCCACACCACGTAAGGTGTACATCTACCCTTGGTTGTGCTGGTCTGTGGGCTGTGAGCCTACAGTTTGATGGTTTGAGGCCATTTTCCCAACTGACCTTGGAGTGAGGCCACACTGAGTGACTCCAGCTATGAGGGACCAAATCTTGACATGTGGAAGTGTTGTGTGGACTTAAAGAAAAACCCTCATGCTTAGAAATCAAGGACGTGTCTGCCAGACCCTTCTCAAACTACCCTGACTTGAGACCAGTGAGATGGTGAAACAGAGTACTTACATGCCAACAAACAAGGCAGTTCAACCAGAGCAGGCAGGCAGGCATGCTCGGGGAGTAAAGATGGTGGCATCACAACGGCTTGCCTGTGTGGCATGGGCTCCAGATGCAGCACCCAAGGCATGAAGGGAGGTGATGGGGCCTGTCTTCAGTGGGTGAGTGACCTCCCTGGGGTTTGAGGTGACTGTTGACATTGTTGCTCAGGTCGGTGCTCCGAGCTCAGCAGTGCCTTGAAGGGTTTTCTCTTCTTCTGCAGGGAGTTGAACAGCATGGGCATCTGGTATCGCATGGGCAGAGTGCCAAGAAATCATGATTCGTCTCAACCCACCACGCCCTCACAGTCGTCAGCTGCTTCCACCCCAGCCCCAAACCTGCCCAGGTGAGGCTTTGTCGGGGATCTCACATGACCTCAGGTATTGCCGAGCCATGCAACAGTTTAGAAAACACCCACTCATCATCTGCTAACATAGTGCACAATGTAGCTGAAATTTTGCAGAAGTCTGAATGTGGGCCTTAAAAAGTCGTGGTCAGAAAGCCAAATGCCACACATGTGAAGGCCACACTGGATCTATATTGTATATATGCTACAGATTCCCAACACAGCAGGAGTGGCTCAAACTTGGCTGGATGAGCCAGGCATGGTGGTTTTCAACCTTAATCCCAGAACTCAGGAGGCAGAGGCAGGTAGTTCCATGCCAGCCTGTCTACATAGTGAGACCTGTCTCAAAAACTAAACTGAATAGAACAAAACAAAACAAAAAATTGGCTTGCCATTCAAATGAGTTAGTAAACACACAGGTATGTGTGTGGCAGCTTGGTGGCCAGGGCCCAAGGTCAGAATTCCCTCTCAGCTCTGCCAGCAACTCATCTAAGACCCAGCAGGACTGGTCAGCCACCCGGAATGCTTGTTCTTTCTTGGGGCTACAAACTAGAAGCAGTCCTTAGAAAGTGGTGAGCTTTCAGGAGATTACATGCATTCTAATCAACTCCACAGAGTCCCTGGTGATCAGCACAGCCACTCTTCAGCAGATTTCAGAGGTGCTTGTGGGGTAAATGTGTCTCTACTTTTTGTGGAAAAGTACATGGGGAAAGACTCCCGTGAAATAAGAGACAGGGACATCACTAAGGAAATTGTCTGAGAGGGACAGACAGCAATAATGGGCTAAGTGTGAGAGATTGCAAAAACAATCAGAAGAAGGAGGGATGGCAGATGGTTTTGCTGGGGGGGTTGAGGTAACATGAGACCACACTGAAGAGCTCCCCATAGGAGGAGAGAGGTGGGTGTCTCTCTTTATCAGGACAGAATGGGTTCCAAGCCAGCTCCTCCCCACCCTTCCCCTGGTGTCCCCCATGGAGCAACTGCCCTCAAGAGGTTTCTCTGGCCCCTAAAAAGCATCCATTCTCTTGGTAGAGGCTACCATAATGATGCCAGGCCAAGGGCACTGTCTTTTGGACCCTGTACAGGCAACCCAGTCTTTCCAGGGGCACCCCCCACACCAGGAGCAGTGTTTAAACGTGACCAGCTCTGAGTGGCAAGTGAGCAGTTGAGTCTGTCTCTGCTCTGGATGTGAGGCTGACGTGATGTGGGAGGGTACTTCTTCCTTCCTCACCTGCTGGTAGTGCTATCACATCTGTGTCCTAGGGCATTGCTCAGGGTGACCGTCACTTCTGCCAGCATCATTTCAGGTTGTCATCTGCACTGGGTGAAGTCAGCTTAGAATCATTGCTGGTGCTCATGGTCATCTCAAGTTTGGATAGCTGGAGGCTGCAAGCCCTTGAGTTGGAGCTACTTCCCCTAAGATATGAGGTCCGGAAGGGCCCAGAAACGGGCAGCACCTCAGGCAGGTTTTAATTCCTGTCACATGGAATGAAGCCATTCTGATTTGTTTTCAGTTGCTGTGGGAAGACATTGACCAAAAGCAACGGGGAAGCTGGCTTCTTTGGCTTATACATCCCTGTCACAGTCCATCATTGAGGAAAAATGGCAGAAACTGAAGCAGAGGCTGTGGAGAGGGGTGTTCTCTTCCCATGGCTTGCTCCCCATGGCTTCCTCAGCCTGCTTTCTTAGAGTGCCCAGAACCACTTGCGCAGGGATAGCACCACCCACAGTGAGCTGGGCCCTCCCACATCAACTGTTATTATTAAAGAAAAATGCCCCCACAGATGTGCCTACAGGCTGCTCTGATGGAACTGTTTTCTCAGTTGAGGTTCTCTCTCTTTCCTCATGACCCCAGCTTGTGTTGAGTTAACAAGACACTTACCAGCACAGGCCCCCACCGTCCCAGAAGAAACAGGGAGAGCGCTCATCCCGCTCATCCCCATCCTGAGCTGGCCTGCCACCTCCCCTACCAGCACAGCAGGCAGCCCCAGAGCACCAGGCTTGGGGGCTGGTGGGGTTGCAGGGTGGCACAACCTGCAAAGTGCTTATAAGGCGTTTTACGACCTTGGTGCAGTTTATGGTTTGCAGTGGCTGCAAGGAAATTGGATCAGTTCTGTTTTACCTGCCAAATAAAACAAATGTCAAAATAGTCAATATAAAATGTATTCTAATTTGGCTGAGTTAAGTCACCTCCTGTATGCAAATGCTGCTGTGATCCTCTCCCTGCTCTCCTCTCAGGCTGGGTGTTGATCATGGGCAGTGTGCATGCCTGTGGGAGCCTCTTAAGTCATCTGGGTCTGGTGGTTTTTTATCTTTTTCAGGTTGTCTTGGATTTTTTTTTTTTCCTATTCAGCATCTTTGATTTTTTTAAATTATTATTTATTTAAGAATCACTAATTACTTACTTGAATTTTCCATTGAAGACAGGGAGTGTTGAGTGCACTTTTTTGTTCCTTGAGATGCTAGGTCTCTGTAAGGGACTCTGTAAGGGAGTGACAGCTTCAAGGTACCTTGAAGACTCCACACATAGGCTACACCCTCCCCCACCCCACCCCCCACCTTGTAACATTCTGTCTCTGGCTCCCAGCTCCAGGCCCCAGAGTTAGGTCAGACTGTCACCCTGCACCCTGATCCTGTTTCATTCTCTGAGCCTGTGCCTCGCTGTGTCCCACACTGCTCTGGGCTGCCAGTGCTCGGGTCACTGGGGAGTCCCTCTCACACTGAGTGAGCAGTGCCCTGTTGTCACTGTCCCAGCACATGCTTCTCTAGCCATGAGACTCCATGTTGATAGCTCTCCATATGATTCCCCATCCCTGAGCACTGCAGAGTTCTCAATCACAAGAGCAGTAAGTTCTTGTGGGAAATTGGCAGAATATAGAAAATAATGGAAAACAAAACCTGTTTCCAGTGAGCAAATTCTCATAACCCTTTGTTACATTTCCTTCGAGCTCTTTCCCCTGTGTACTTTTATGTAGGTGGCATCCTCACATATATAGCAAGTTCATTATTTTCCCATGGAGCATTAAACCGCAAGCATCAGGAACACTTCCCTGGTCTTTGTGTGGGGACACCTGATCCAAGCGCCAAAGCAGAGCTGCCAGGAGAGTGGTGATGGGGTGCCCTCTACTGGCCAGCGAGGAGGTGGCAGGAGGCTTGCTGGGTGGCAGCCACAATCAAGAAGGAGATGGGGTGGGTGGCAGATGAGCTGTGAGCCTGGGAGTCAGTCTCAGAAGCAAAGGACATGTGCGCTGCCAGCATTTGGATTTAAGCATTCCCAGCAGCTTTTTTGGAGAGCTGTCATTTCCAGCTTTACTTCAGACAAAAGGGGCATTTGCTGACCTTTTCACAGGTGACAAGCCATCACCTTTGTCATTCCAGCAACACTGCCTTCTCTTTCCCAGGAGCAGGCAGTTCTCTCCCGTGCCTCCTACTGCTGCAGGGGCATTCATGGTAAAACTTGATGTGACTCCCCTCCTTGCCTTCCTGCACGTGGGTCTCTGAGTAGGCAGGATGTTCACTGGCGATGTCCAGCTGATGGGGTATTGAGTTCAGTGGAGTTTATGTCAAAAGCAGCATAAGATGGCAGGCTCACCCTCTGTACAGAGAGCCTGGTTTCATCCACAGACCTCTGCTTAGGTCTCTGGGTAAGATACCTTGTCCAGGACCTGGACCCCGCACCTCCCTCCAGGCAGAGAGCATTCCATTCCGTGCCCACTACCATAATGCACATTATCCAGTAGGATGGGGTGGCCTGAGGGTGGAGGGTATCTTCTTTCTCCCCACCCTCTTCCGGGTTGGCCTCAGCTAGGTGAGCAGCCTTGGTGGCTGTGGTGGTGCTTCCTGTTCTGCTCAGGGCTGCCACCTGGGGGCACAGGTACCCATAGTGGAATCATCTTCAGACAAAGTACCCATACTCACTCACATGTGGGGTCTCACAAGTGACTGCAACTGCCTGGACCATAGTTTGAAAAGCTCCAGGAATCCGTGGCTGAGAGAGTGCCAGGAGCCCCCAAGTGGAGGAATGAGTGTTCCTGTGTTGCTTGGGTGAAGATCTTGGTGGGTTGCTGGCCCCAGCCTGCTGAGCAGTGGGATCAAAACCTTGATAAAAATGTTCCAGTCCTGTTATCAACCTGCAAATGATACAGTCACTAGGGAGAGCAGATGTGCCAAAGGACCTGATGATGCAGTATACATAACTCCAGAGCACAGCCCATGGGGGCCAGAAGGTAGAAGGCAGTGGGCGCAAATAGAAAGACCTCTCAAAGGTCACGTGCGTGTGTGTGAAGGGATTAACTGATCACGTGCTTGCTGTCATGTAGCCTGCTGTGTATGGCCAGGCTGCATCCCTGTCACACCTGCCAGGTTCAGTGGAGAGTCATATAAAAACTACTGAACTGCAGTGTTGCATTTACACCTGTGTACAGATAGGCAGCTGGCTTCAGATATTTAAATAGTTAACCATTAGAGAGATAGCACAAGCCACAAGCGTTTATGATGAGAAGGGGAAGGGCTAAAGTGGGTTGGAATTATAAGGTGGCAGATTTGGGGGTCAACCTTTCTTCCTCTTTTCTTTTCGAGACTGGGTCTCGCTCTATAGCTCTGGAACTTATTACTAACTTGCGACCAGAGACCCACCTGCCTCTGCCTCCTGAGTGCTGGGATTAGAGGTGTATACCACTGCTCCTGGTTCTCAACATTTCTTTTTTAAGACAAATAAATAAAACACTACATAAGCTGAAGGAGCCACTGGAGGCTCAGGAGCTACTGCTGAGGGTTAGCTGGGAAGTATCCCTCAGCTGCTTATATGTTGAAGGCGTGGCCTCCAGTGAGTGTTGAGTGTGTGTGTGTGTGTGTGTGTGTGTGTGTGTAACTAGATCATGATGGTGCTGAGTTAATTGGGAACCAATTTAGATACTGGAAAGGTGGTGCTTGATGGGAGGAAGTGAATCACTGGAGTCTACCCCCACCCTCACCCCCGCTTTCTGGCCACCTTGAGGTGA